ACGCCATTTTTTCTGTATTTCATAACGTTTATATAACAAGATTGTGAATATTAGTGTAAGGCACTATAGAGCCTGAGAAAGCCTCAATTATCGCAGGAAAAGCGGCATCCTTTGATGATATTTGCTTCTTACTGTCGCTGCTACTGATATCGCTGTTGCTGGTGCATCTGATGATGTACAGCAGTAGCGCGACCAGCAACACACGTCACATGATACCGCTTTTCCACGATAACTGAAATATCCTCAGGCTTAGTCATCCCTATTTAACTGTGAATTTCCGACAAAATAATAATACTAAGATATTCCAACACTGATAAATATTACTTACTTACTGGTATATTGGAAGGCATTCAAATCATAAGCCGCTCGTCAAAATAAGAGAAAATGTAGTTGTTGAGTAGGCAACAATTTGGTGCACCAAAGGCCCAAAAGTGATATACAGGGCAGTGCTCATTAGCTAACGGATATAGCATCCTGCAGACTCTGCTTGCAAGACGGCAAGAAAAGATAATCCACGTAAAGTGACAAAAGGGAATTCCAGGTTTCACTTATTCGTGAATGCTTTATACAACGTTCAAGGGTCAGTTTTAGACAAATTAGGCTTCCAGGTTTCACCTAACCGTGAACGCTCAGCACTTTTCACCTGAGTGTCATTGACACCGATGATGGGGATATACGCAAAAATTAACACATATATCATAAGAGCACTTCGGACTTGATGAACACTTATCACTTGAGTGACTCTTACACTTAAGTGGTGACACAATATATTTTGTTCGTAAAACTACCGAACTATGATCAGATGCCCTTCCAACTGGAAGTTCGCTTTTCATGTCGCTGTTCCGGACACCGGCAGATAAATCCGCGCGTGATGCGCGAATCGAGCCGCATTTTTGCCGTTTCGATGTGCCGGATAAAAATCCAGTTCTGGTTTTGTATTACGGAAACAGGATGCATGTTGCATATTCGACTCGGTAATTTTGTTTTTAGCTTTATGATACGCTCGATAATCTGCATGACTACGAAACAGTTCAACAGTTGTTTTATTAGGATTTCTGGACGGTCAGGAAAACATGTAGCTACCTAACGAGTAACATGAACATGTCATAACTGACAAGGTATGCACGCTGGAAACCAGACAAGCCCCTCCGGGAGGAAAAAAGTTTGCAGTCCAAGGCTCAGCGCGGGTTATCTGATAGCACAAAAATTGCACCTGGCTTTTTTATACTTACAGTTGTGTGGCAAGGTCTATGACAGCTCTACCTGTGATCACCTTAGACGTTGAGGGTGATGTCCACTTACACTGGCTGAACACCTTTGGTCAATCGGCTCCTACCTAAGAAGACCGGTCTCGGTTATTCACTATGTCCTTTCAAGCTCAGTGTGTGGTTTGCCTTGCACTTTAAGGCCCGGGATCCTTAGTTACGAAGTCCATAGATTCATCGGTTCATGACTCAACATGGTTAGAGTCAGGCATATCAACTGCAGCACTCCAAACAGCAGCGCATGGATGGCTTCGCTTATGGCTCGCTTTAGATTTAGGAATGTTATCCTTCCCCTGACTTCCGAAAGATATCGTGTGATTGTGTCATGACCAAGCAAGACTAAGTGTAGCTTAGTTTATTCTCTGCGGCCATTCACCCTGACATCTGAAGAATACTGCTTGATCTAACAATATTTCGTTTATCAACTGTTGCAGTCTTCCAAGTAACAGACACGCTGCAATTATAGCTCCGATTTCAACTACTCAACGGGTTCACTGCCTAATAAGACTGGTCTTGTCACTTTAAATTGCAGCTGGAAAACGGTGATACTTGCACAGTGTGTGGTTCGCCTCAGTTACTTAGCCAGCTTTAGGGCTTTAGGACTGCTGTTTCTACTTCCTTACGTCTGAGTTCAACTACTCAATGAATTCACAGCTTAACATGACCATTTTAAATAGCAGCTGGCACACTGTAATACTGTCTCCGCGAGTGGTTCGACTTAGCTTTTGGTAATAACGATTCTCTACTCTGACCTTTCATTCGTCGATTGATTAGCAACCCATTAATATCAGTCCACATGTCAACTGATCACATTGTGTGCGGTTCGCCTTGAATGTTAGGCCTGCTATCCCTTCCCTCTGGCTCATGAACAACAAAAACGGTCTCGCTGCAAAGTTGGCTCTGTGTGTGCACAGCTTTGAATTTCGGGACTGTTTTGTCCCTTTGCCCCGACTTCCGAACTCCATTCCGCGATCGGTTCATGACCTAACAAGACCGGTCTCGCTTATCGACTGGGCCCTTTCAAATATGGCCGGGTGGCGGTCTGCGGGCATTCGCATGCGATGCGAATTGCTCGCATTCCAAAACAAGATTCCATTTGTGCCATTTACTTTGGACGACGACATCGTCGACCGGCCATTTTGCGACCGTTAGGAATTGCCTCTTACCAATTTCGATTGAATATTTGCCTTCCGTGCCCCGGCGCGCTCAGATTCCTACCACAAACTCGGTGCACGTCTACATTACGATACAATAAATATAATTAGTTCAAAACTCTTAGTGTTCAATGCGTACGTTTCTCTTCCTGTGTCACTGGCGAGGAACTATTGTAATCGCGAAATGTTTTGGAACTGAGACATGTGCAGTTACGTCATATTTAGTAAATTTGAATGCCAACCATAATGCAAAATAGATCCTAAATCGGCACGTATTGTTTGAATTTCCCGGGTACATTCATGTTGGTAACAGTTTTCTGTATTGTGACATTGTTGCAAAGCTTGTCGTAATTACTTCAACGGCTGTTGTTAGTTGTGGTTCATTTCCTAGGGTCTATTAGTAGTTGAAAGTAATGTGGCAGCCATGTGCGTCACTGTCATTATTTGACGTTGTGATGTAACTGCTTTGATTTACTGAATATACTGTATTTGGGATGTTATGACATCACGAAAAAAGAAATGTCAGATATTTCAGTCGGTATGTTAGTCCTCTAATCCTTGGCTGGTCTATAACTTGGTAAGCTTGAATTTCGAGAAAATGTTTACACATGGTTACTTCCATGCGAAAAGGTATTGCAGTTTTTGGTAAATGGTCCAGAGGCGGCGTAGCTAGGAGCAAAAAACAACGGAAATCGCTTCAACTTGGTCTTCCGAAATTTCAGGATCTTGTGACCACTTATGAAATCGTATTGGGGGTAAAATTGGGAGGTGTGCGGATGTAGGGCGTGGTAGAAGGTGTATTTCAATATTTTAGCCGTAATAACGTATGTCCTTTGGCACAAAATGCTTATCGGATTTTTTTTTTGAAGAAATTTATTTAAACACTAACTAGTTATCATAAATTACAACTCAATACCTAACTAAACTATACAAGCGAATCGTGTTGATGCCCAATCTGCTCTACCAACGCAACATTCTCTGACTGTCTCTCATAAGGTCCTGGACGGAATTCAGATCTATTTCTCCCAGTTTTTTGTAAATCAGCTGTGTTAACTGTTTTTGATCTTGGGCTTCCCAGCCACCATGTAAAGCTGCCTAGACAGTAAAGCTCAAAGATCCTCTACTGCGTGAACCTGCGGCAAGTTTGTGGGATTATCGCTTTCGGGAACAAAAGATATGTTGTGTTGTCGAAGCCAGTTTTGGGTATCTGAAGCAATTTGGAGAGGCAGTTGTCTTCCCACAAAAGGTTGGGATACGCCCCTGTTAGAAATTCCGCACCAGACAAGGACTTTATCTGCAAATTTCGCATTATGTTTGTATTTAACATCGTCAGGATATCCCTCTACAGTATCCGCATAAAATTCATCGTTTCCCTCCATTTCAGAATCACTCAAAGTGAAATACTTTTCGTCATCTAAAATAACGATTTTTCTATTGGCAAAGTGCGTCCGCTTCAGTTGACGACAGCATCAAGAGTTGCGGTTGAGAGTATACGGAGCACTTCAGTCTTTTTCGATACGAGTGTTTAAGTCCATTCCTCCTCAATTCTAACGATTTCGAACTCTTGGAAGATCTGTATTATCGAGCCGGTCTTCTTTTTTAATAATAATAATAATAGTAATAATAAATAAGAGATACTCAGGCGGGCCGCCGCAGCAGGAGCCGGGTCGGAACCGTCTTGAAGATTTACCTGCAACCTACCGCGTCAATGAACAAGGACCAACCCGATTACCAACCCAGTCGAGTACACCACCACCAAACGTACCAAGCCAAGATGTCGGTGTTGCTGGACCATCAGAGCCCATGCCCACCACGTCACAAGGCACAGTTAGGCAAAGAACCATGTGGACAGAAGAAATCAATGCATTCATGGTTCGCTGCTACTACAGATTAACCCGACTAGAAACCGCCAAAACTCACAGCCGAGAAGTACATAGACTGGTAACTGAAAAATTCCCAATGCTTCGTCATAAGACTATACAAAATATCATAGACCAGCGAAGATCTATATTTATAAATAGACGCCTATCACCAGGTATGATTACACAAATAAATCGCGAAGTTGCGAACTATCTATGAATTTACCTGCTGATCTCCCCAAAGGGTTCATTTGCTTTATGATGGAATGGACCCTATGATGAAACCTAGACTTCCCAAAATAATTTATAATAACAAGACAAAATCTATATTGGGTGAAATCAACAAAATTCTGGATTCCAAAATAACACCAACCAAAAAAGTGTAGATGCAGGTACCATTAAAATAGAAAATGGAATATTCCAAGGGGAAGCATTAAGTCCGCTATGGTTCTGTCTGTCGCTGCGACCCCTGACAACTATGTTGAATAGGCAGCGCAAAGGTTATATACTGCCACACTCAGACAAGAAAATCAGCCACCTTTGGTGCATGGATGATTTACAGCTGTATGCAAAGTCTAAAAACACCTTGACGGCCTTCTGACTTGCGTCACCCGATTCAGTCGCGACATAAGAATGTCATTTGGGCTGGACAAATGTAGGACCAGCGGGATGGAGAAGGGCCAGTGGGTAATTCACGCGGGATATGGAGTTGCTGAGCGGCAAACCATCGCCGGAACGGAAGAGGGAGAAAAGTACAAATATCTTGGATATCTGCAAGCAAACAGCAAAGCAGACAGTAAGTGACACCTACATTAAAAGAATCCGGTCGATACTGAAGACTAAGCTGTCTGCCAGGAACATGGCAAAGGCAGTTAACACCTATGCCACGTCTGCAGTTTCTTATAGCTTTGGAGTGATTCACTGGACAGCAATAGAACTCAAAAACCTCAATATCAAAACCAGAAAAGAGTTCAGCAAATTTCGAGCACATCATCCACGTTCATCATTGGAAAGGTTTCACTTGCCTAGAAAGTTGGGTGGAAGAGGTATACCTGATCTAGTTATTAACCACAACAGGCAAGTAACAAACTTTAGGAACTACTTCCTCGCCAGGGCTGCATCCAGTGAGATTCTCCACGCTATCATAAGGGCGGACAATAAGGTTACTCCTTTAAGACTGGCAGACCAAAACTTCAGCCTTAGCGTGGACCAGCTCATACCCGAGCAACAACTGCAACAATGGAAGAGTAAGGCACTTCATGGTAAATACCGCACCCTACTCGAGAGCGATAAGATCGATACCTTCGCATCCACGGCCTACCTCCGCTCTGGAAGCCTGTTTGCTGAGACAGAAGGGTTTATATCTGCTATCCAAGATCAGGTCATCGCAACTAAAGTATATAAAAGGAACATAATGCGGGAACGACAAGACAATATCAGATGTCGTGTGTGCGGTGAAAAGAATGAATACCTGGACCACATCATCGCTGGCTGCTCAATGTTGGCACCGAAATCCTACCTAGACAGGCACAACAGAGTCGGAAACATAATCCACCAAAGCCTTCGTCAAAAGTACATGGGATCGACAGAAATAGTGCCGTACTATTTATACGAGCCGCCTGCTGTGTGCGAAGATGAACAAACCCGGCTCTACTGGAATCGAAAAATTATAACTGATAGACCGATAAGTAATAATATACCGGATATCGTGCTCACTCTAAAAAATGAAAACAAAACATACATGGTAGATTTCGCTGTGCCATTGGGAGCCAATCTAGAAAAGACACATGGAGAAAAAATCAATAAATACCTATCCCTGAGCGATGAAATCCGCCAAATGTGGGACATGGAAACAGTAGTCATCATCCCCATTGTGATCGGAGCAACTGGAGAAATACCTAAAAAATTAAAAAACATCACTGCAACAACTAGGATTACCATTTGAGTTATACTTAGCCATGCAAAAGTCGGTCGTATTGGACACATGCAGTGTAGTCCGTAGAGTTTTAGGCGGCAACTAGAACAAGATGTTTTTAACATCAGCATCGAACGGGCCACCTTGTTTCAAAACCGATGGGCCAGCGTTCTTATCCCAGGGAAGCCTGTGAATCAGTTAGATGATTAATGAATAATAATAGCTTTATTACCCAACAGCTAACCATTTACATGGTAACTAAGAGAAGTTCTAAATTATTAGATGCCTAACTACGAAAAACAAACTAAATGTGTATAACAGCATGATCCACAAGCTTATTCAATGTGCAAGTGAATTATAAATTATAACATGCCTTAGTAAAAAAGAGAAAAACAATTAAGGGTGAATGACAGCTTGATCTACAAGCTCCTTCAACGTGCAAATAAAAATGTGACAGTAAGTATATATTCTGTTATAGTTGCTACACATTACATGAATGGGCGAGTGAACGAAGATATTGGTTCTTGGCCTATTACACTTGATCGTGGCACTAGTCCTACTACTGATCCTAGGTACATTACATTTGATTAAACGTAGGTTGGAAGAGCAATCTATGGTATTATGTAATAATTCATATAGGAATGAAAGAGATGCAATACTCCGCCTTAGTTGCAAACTATTTTGCTCCAATCTACTACATAAGATTTCATAGTCAATGCCCCGTTCAGGATAAGTTCCCCATATTTTGAAAACCAAATATTTTAATGCTTTGCATTGAACCCTTTCGATCGCAGTGATGTAGCATTCATATAAAGGATTCCATATAACACAACCATATTTTAGCTTCGGCCGTACAAGCGAGTTCAACAAAATTTTAATGAAATCGATATTTGAAAATCTCCTACATGACCGCACAATAATCCCATACAGTTTCAAGGCCTCAGAAATTATAAATTATCTCCAGGTCCTTGCAAGTGGGTGCTCTTTGAGTTTTACAATTATTTATTATATACTTGTAATTAAAACTTTAGCTATGGTGTGTGGCTGGAAACTTGATTGTTTAGTAACTATATTTTTTGTTGTTATAGAGAGAGCAGGATGGTGGTTATCTACTTTAACGAGCGGTAAATCATCTCGTTCAATATGGCACTGTGCAGATTAACTAATCAAATCTAGAGTACGACCCAGACCGTTCGTAACGTGATTATATTGAGCTAATGAATGCAACTCTAGGAAATCAGCCAACCTGACTTTTTTCTCTTCTCAACAATTTCTCTGACCTCGGTGCAGTAAATGCACGTTGTATTCAACTTTTTATTTATAAAATTGTAACCTCAGTATCTCTACGCGCCTATTAGGCATATTCCCCGAATATTTGCCCTTAAGACCTAGTATATTCTTGGCAGTACAATTTATCCAATATAAATAATCGGATATGGTGACAACATTAAGGATGTATTTATTCAAGTGTGAAATAATGAATAAGCGTTCTGGGAATATGAAGATATTTCGGAGAATGGAGGTTGAATTATCTTATCTTCTTTAAATACCTTTCCCTCAAATAGTGGTACAAAGACGTACAGAAGTTGTTCCACATTGTTTGAAGAAAGATAAACTAGAAACGCTTTACCTTATGTTCGATGCACTGTGGGTCGAACCCTGTCATTTAAGGGGCTCTTGCAACGGGGTTCGTAAGGACACCAGAGTAGACAAAACTCAAACCATGAGATCCCAAAATACCAGAACGTAAGACATTTTATAATTTTTTTAAACCGACAATACATTTTTCAGTCATAATCAACTACCCTATGGCTTTATATCAAACTACAAGGATTTTCTTAGAGCCGGATTAATCCTGGATAGTGCAATTATCATGTTCTTTATTACCTTATCATTTTCTTACTTCTTAAAATAATTTTTTCTATCACAATGCAATTATATTCATAATAATTATAATAGTTCTTAGTAAGAACGAATGAAATAGAATTATACGCATCATAAGGTCTTCATGACTGTGTGAAAATGGGGAAAAATGCAAATTTTCAAATAAAATGTTCGTTCGGTGAAACGTTGTACTACGTTCTTCTCATGGTGCGTGCAGTCAACGCGGCACTATTACGCAGTTGTCTACTCTGCTCAATGGTTGATTTGAGATGTTAGAACATACAAAAGTTCTCTCAGATACAGAATTGCATTACCGAGTAAACCTACTTGACGCCAGTTTTCGATATAATTCATTTGTAGGTCTTTCCATCATGGAATACTTTATTTGAGTTGCTGGTTTAGTACAAAATCGGATACAACTGCAAGGGAAAGAAGATTCGAACTTAGTCGTTATGTGACATATTCTTAGGTACATTGGTGCGCAAATTTACCGTATTTAAATAACAAAGGTGAGGATCGAATTCAAATCAAACAGGTACAGGGATTTATTCAAGTAACTGACGTCTCCTAGTTTCGCTTTCGTTGACCCATCCATAACTGTATCCTATTTCTAATAATGAAATGCACCTTTAAGTTCGCTTCCCTCTTACGTCCATTATTGTAAACACCACTAACCGCCCTTTTTTGTTTCAGTGTCAACCGAGGCAAGGCACCCTGTGATAGTATACATACACGGAGAATCCTTCGAGTGGAATTCCGGAAATCCCTATGATGGAAGCGTTTTAGCTTCGTACGCCGACTTAGTTGTAGTTACACTGAATTATAGGCTAGGAATATTAGGTAAGTGCTTGGGATAATGAGATAATGGCCCATGCTAGATTAACCCCGACCCCTATTTGTCACCGCCTGACAGAGCGGGCTTGAATTTTCTTTGGGTTTATTTATGCGAAGTTAAGCCTCTCTTTAGTTTTTGGTAGAACGGGATAGTGGGAGGTATTTAGTTAAGGGGCTTAGGTACAGCGACCTACAAAATGGCAAGCCCGATATATTATGCACAGGTCAATTTGAGCGGGTATAATAATGATCTACTGTTTAACATGAATGCAAAGCATACAGGACTATCCAGACTAAAGAGATGATTCATATGGGGTGTTTCTTAAGCCTGGGGTTATTTTCTGAACTAACTAAATAGTTGGTATTTTAGTGATACCTGAAAGGAAGGTCGGATTTATAGAGCGGTGACTTTCGCCAGTATTAAGGGTTTATTGGAAATAAATATATAATGACCATCTTCAAGTAGTATGAGAGAATCTAGTCTTCTTCTAGAGTTTATACTAGAGTTTTTTTAGTCGTCTTCTACGGGAATAGTGAAAATTAACAGCTTTAGGTTGATGGTAAGACTATACGGCTTCTTCTGGTATACTAATAGCGCACTTAGGTACCTAATTATTATCAATGCCGATTATTAGTCAGTCTATCATAAGGGCGGAATGCTTTAATTTTGGAAGGCTGAGATAGCATGGTGGTTCAAAAAATAGTAGCACTTTCGGTTTCAAAAGTACGTCCAAAAATTTAACTGAAAGTTTCTATTATTGAATTTCTGAATGAGGTGTTCAATTTTACGATTTTTAAAGGGACTTCTGTAAGATAGCTCGATTTTAGAAGAAGCTCGCTTAAACATCTGGAACTGCATTAAAGACTTGATTTTGCTAATAACGTTGAAGTACATGAAGTAGGACGCTGGAAGCGTTTTAGAATGTGATACGGAAGTTATTTCACTTAACCACAATGTTGTTTTTTATGTCCTATCTCCGACTACTGGCAACATCGGCTCAAACTTTTACAGCACACTCTGCCCCGACAAGCAGCCATTTTAGGGGTTGTAATAATAACAATAGTATTTCTTTGCCTCAGAGGAATCATACATTTTCGCTATACAAAGAGTACGTTGAGCTAGAAACAAATGCCGCCGTGCGTTGAGCCTGACAGGAGAATCTTCCAGGCTTTTGGCTCCCACCCGAACTGTGTCAAACGTTCACCCAGAACTGGCTGGTACGACCGCTCCTTTGTCCCTATGGTGTCAAGATTGTGGAGCAATATGCCCAAAGTGGTTTTTTCAGTTCTCCTAACCTTGAGAAGCCCAAGAATCCGATTAACAAAGTCATTTTAAGTCTGTTATAGCAGCTGCCCCGCCCCAATATTTAAGCTTCTGCTAAAAGAAACTCGCAGAAGGACAGCCCTTGTACCCAGGTGTGACTACTGAAGGTATACATAGAAGTTTTATAATAGCTTCCAATTATATGGTATATATATAATATATATATATAGTAGCATTGGCATTACCTTTTTGGAATTCGGACATATTATCACTGCCTTTTGAGTAACCCTGTCCTGGCCCAGTAATGCAAATATAGTCCCTTTCACGGTTTTAGGTGGGTTACAAGAACAGCAGGAAATACTTTTATATATCTAACTCTCCCACACATTCTGGCCCCACCTATGACATCCATCGGGTGGTACATCCGCGTTCGAGTCAGGGACCGTCTACCACCTAATCACAACACACAACAGACACATCTCTTGGGAAGGGATTCGAACCTGCGTAATGCACGGCGACTGATTGGTAGACCCATAATGTCCACACGCCACCGCTGCTGCTTAATTTCCAGAACATGTCCTCTATTACCCAATATATCTGTGTGTGCAAGAACGGGTAGCAGCTGCGTTATGGATCGGCTTACCCAATGTACATTTTCCTTAAGATGGCACGATCAATCAACGTGTTTACCCATTTCGTCAGGCATTGTGACGTAACCTCCAAAAACCATGATACGGACTATACTCTAGCAAGCTATAGCGATACCGTACTGCGACGTGTTCTGGGAGAAATATGTCTTTCGGTTTGCGCTATTTGTGCACTCTCAAATCGTAACTCACCATTCCAAATATCTTCTGGCAGGGATAGAGAACCGAGATATGCGGGATTATACACTCTACGAAAAGTAAGACCACTCCTGGGCAAACTTTTTACGTTCAAACATCTTCAGTAGTGTCGCCGACCTTTCTAAAAAACTACTCACGGCGATCAAATCTAACAGATCGTTGGAAAATCTTCTCGAATAATCCCGGCGCCGGTGGTCTCGGTATGTCATTGGAACTTGAATTGTACTGAAAAATCAGGACCGAGAAACCTTGTCATCATTCTTTTGGCTTTATATATGAAATACAAGTGAACCTCTTGTTGACGAGCAAGTATTGTAATCACGAAAAATTTCGAAAATGAGATATTATGTTTTTAGATGTTATATGACATTTACGTTACGAAACACCATGCAACTCGTTTCCGTTAATCTGTCTATCGGTATGTCTGTCCGCTAAGCCGTGGCCCGTCCATAACTGGGAAACTACCTCTCTAATTTCGATGAAAGTGTTACACGAAATAGCTAATATGCCAAGGACGTAAAGGCTTTATAGCTTTTGAAAATACATCTAGTGCCGGTGACGTGAAAGGCAAAAAACCAAATATATGAAAACCGCTCAAACCACCTGTTTTGACGTTTCAGGGGTTCCTGATAATTTTCAGAAAATTGCAAGGTTGAAAATCGAATGTTGTGGGTTGCTTAGGGTCTGTGGAACTACGGTTATAGGCTTCCAACGCCCGTAGTTCCACACAAATATTTGTACATGTTTCACAAATCATATCATTTTGCCGTACATTTGCTCTTCAAACCTGGAGAAATATTCACAGACGTTACAACGTTACACACCGTAAATTAAGACGATCACAGCCCTCTTGCGTGTGCGTGTGTATCTGACTGCATCGCCAAAGTTCTAGATCTCGAGATATAGCGAGTGATTGGCGCTTATGATAAACTGGAGTAGTCGAGCACCGTCGAGAGATAGTCGATACTTTGGGTAGGGAACAAACTAGCATTAGCATTATTAAATAGATGGAAACTATGGGGTATGGTCTAATTGAAAAAGCCTGTTTGACTGACTTGAACCATTAAATGTTTGTTTTGTTTTACGTGTTTATAGCTAGTCCCGACTCACTAAATTCTTCCTAACGTAATCCTTTATTTACTGATCACAGTTAAGAGACGACCCAAGTGACTCGTTTTTTATAGCTCTTTGATTATTACGCGTTACGTTAACTGTTAAAATCGATCTGATTTGACTGACCTGCAGTCTAGCCATAAGCTTGGACTATGAACATTTGAACGGGAGATTCATTCACTTTGTGCAGTCTCGGTTCTCTGTAAGACCACTAGTGCTTCATTTATTACGCGCCATAGATCCCGGCGTATTGGTACGAAAAGACAGATGCATCTGCATAATTTGAAATACGTGCTAGCGTTTCAAATAGCTCACACGCCTTGGAAAAAACCGCTGTTGCCGTGTTCCTGATACTTGCCTAAGCTACTGCAATCCGCATTTCGCTAGCATAGCTCATAAGCTACAGACCTTTAGTACACTATAAGGCCGCGATTATAATTCGAGATGGCGGTTGACGGGTGGGCAGGTGTTGGATGACAGACTACAGGTGACGGGTAATGTACACAGGTCACATAAAATCAAATAATATATTATAATACACCCCATTCAAGTGGCATTTACATAATCCTCCCGCTCTTATACAATTATACTGTCCCGTACCTGTCTGGTGATCGGTACTAGAGCACCTGTTCGTCTTGTCGTGGCGTTAATGTCATCAAAATCAACAAGTATTCGATAAAAGTTGGAACGGAATGCCTCGTAACACCCAAACGCTCTATTTCCCCTTTCAAAAAGTTGTGAAAAACCACCCAATATGGCAACGCTGTTGCTGCGTTGCCAGGCGGTATCGCCCGTTTCTGTATGATTTTGCAAATGCGGGTGGCATTGTCGCCTCGTCTCTCGCCACCTATGTGGAGCAGAAATGGGCATATTAATACCAATGTAAAACAGATGCAAGAGATGTCGTCCGTCGCCTACCGCCTACCACCCGACACCTACCATCTCGAAGTTTAACCACGGCCTAAGCAATACACTTTCAGAATAAGATGTATTCTTATTATTCCTACTTTATTAATATGCTCATGCCTGTTTTACTTCGGTTTTTAGCCTCAATTCATGTTGTCTGACCATCTTTTCCTCGGTCGTGCCATTGATCTTCTTCCATTTGGCGATTTGTCTCTTGCTATTCGTACTGCTCTATTTTTCATTCTTTCTATATGTTGGTTCCAATCTATTTTTCTTCTTTTGGTCTACAGGTTTATTTCCTCCTTGCCATATCTCGCTCGTTTTTCAACACTTCTTACTCTGTCTCTAAGAGTTTGGTTTGTTATTTTTGGTAAGACTTTGATTTCTGCTGTTTCCAATAATCTTTGTGTTTTCGCCGTATCTGCTCTTGTTTCCGCTGTGTACATCATTATCGGTCTTATTGTCGATTTGTATATCCTAGTTTTCGTGTCCGTTGTGTATATATATAACATGTAACTGAGGAAATATGGTTGAGTGTAAACATCAGATTTACGTGGACAGTGTCGTCGTCATTGAACCGAAAAACGTCCTATAAAGTCAGACAGTTACCTTTGGATCAAGGTAGCAATCTCAAAGGATATAGGCACAACTAGTGCAAGTCACTGATAGTTTATTCGCAGTGTTAATATGGGATACGAAATCTCAGTTTGAATAAGAATGCAGGAGCTGCCTTGAGCTACCACGCTGGCGCGGTTAGGCTCGTAGTTATAAACTGGTATAACATCGACGAGACCATACTATTATGCAGTCCGTATACCTTGGAAATGCCCTTGTATAAATGCTTTTTGGCCCGCCTCCATAAATTACCCCCATACTGTGAATGTGAAATATGACACCAAAAAATGCGTTAATTTTCAATATATCTACGTTTTATAGCCAGTCGTAAAAAGCTCTGCGCTTTTGGTGATAAACATGGTACATCACATGGTGTGCCAGTCGTTTTTTTGTCGATGAGCATCATGCTAAAAAGCAACAGTGAAAATGTCGAACCCATAAGTCACAGCTGTGCATTACATGAAAGCAGTGCCCGTTTCACGAATTAATAATTCTCAAACATTCTATACCTTCTCGTAACAGATTGTCTACGCTACCAAGAGTACTCGAACTCGCTCAGCTACAGCTTGACTGGCGGTGCGGTAACATTTAGACCAACTGTAGCTGAGGCTGCAAGCACATAGCTGAGCGACCTTGAGTGCACCTTCACGGTTATTACGTAAAAAAACTATATAATTTGGAAAAATAACCGAGTGTCAACTTGCTGACTAAGTATAATAGTGTGCAAATAGTTCATACCGCGCTTGCTACAAGTGAGCATAAAGGACGATAGCTAGATCCAAGTTGACATCCTACATAATATCAAAAAACCGATATATTTCACTTTTCAAGTAAAATAATACCCCTGCCGGTAGCGCAGACCACTTGTTACGCAGAGACATCTACAAGTTAAGATCCTTTGAAATCCAACTCATTCCTTTCAAGTGCTGTACCTTGTATAATTTTAACTGAGTCACCAAACAAGCGAAAGGTAATACTATTTTTTGTTTCATTAGAAATAAAGAAATGTCTTTACCACTAGACCTTATGGAACTCATATAAATACCGAAGACCCAAGTAAAGGCGGAAAAAGAATACATATTTTTCTACCTCAGTTCATGGTTGTACTAATATATTGAATAAACTTCTTTGAAAAACCCCTGCATTGTCTTTGCTTTAGTCAGCTTAATTTTCATTTGTCATGTTGATAATTCATTTTACAACAACTGGTTTATTGTCTAAATTAAAAATCGTTTGTTTCTCTTTTCTGTTTGCAGACGTCGAGTAACTGTGTTTTGTTCTTGAATGTTTTATATTCCCAGCTTTTATCAAGCTTTTGCTTTATCTTTATTTTGTTCGTACAAAGAGCTCATTCGTTTATTTCCTTTGAAGCTTGATGCCCGATGCTTGTTTTTTACTTTATTTTTAGCCAGATGCAGCAAGGTTAAGAAGCCAAAACTGGTTACTAACTTGCTAACAGATATCCCTAAGTGTACGGGAAAGTAATCTGGGCCTAATTTTCACCAGATGGCTTCAAAATATTTTTCGAGTGTGTATATGTGTACAATTTCACAGACTACTTGAAATGGGTCGATGGATGTCGAGAAATGAGGTGCTGTTATATTATACTAAAATCTTTAAAATAAAAGATTGCGTATTTAAGTCAAAAATTCTGACATTGAAGTTTGTACTTCACCTACAGCCCAAAAGGCTTGATCGATTTTGTTATAAGAGGTATCTCTACTCGTAGATTAGTCCTGGCAGTGCACTGTACACTGGGCATACATATAAACACTTTATGAAATTAAAGTGGCTTGCTTTGGACGCAGACTATAAGTGGAATGAAATTTCTACTCGTATTTCATGGGCTGGAAGCACCATTTAGGGGGGGGGGGTCCTTAGGTTCCCTTTGACAGCACAATCAAGACTTAATTCCTTTCCATTACTGCAGCCGGGTTTTTTTGTCCTCAATCTAATTGTGGTTTGTCAATACATCATGACAATTATAACCTGTAGTTCGATATATTTTGCTTTACAATGACTTATTTTGTATTGGAACGCTTTATTGAAATATCGAGGTACTTCATGTGTGGCCATCTTTCCAGGTTTTCTAAACGCCAATCCTGCGCCACATTTGAAGGCGCGTGTAGCCAACTACGGGCTGATGGACCAGATAGCAGCACTTCACTGGATACAGCAGAACATCGCTCTATTTGGTGGTGACCCGACGAACGTGACCTTGGCAGGACACGGGTCTGGAGCAGCCTGCATCAACTTTCTTATGATATCACCTACGGTTATGCCAGGATTGTTCCACAGAACGGTGAGTACCACCATTGATTCAACAATATAAATGGGTGTATTCTGGAGCAGTTTCATGCCGTTTTGACAGATACCTGTATGCAATCAATGTCTTCTAAGGCCGTCCTGTACAGTTCCCTAGGACTTTAAAATATACTGCCACTACAAATGTGTAAAGGACAGTGAGTTCTAATTTAGTACAGCTGTAAAATTGCTGCTCTCCATTGTTTGGAGATAGAAGGTGTCCCAGATTAAGCGGGGTGAAGAATACAAAGAAATAGGGACACGAGCTCCTATATAGAAATATTCTACGATACCCCCTACGGAGATGTTCCTAAAAGACATTACAGCTAACAATTTGACAGTGGAGAGAGTTGTACAGTCGTTAACGTTAAAGTGACAGCATGCCGAGGAGATCTGGGGAACACTAACAAAGAACCTCTTTCGGCTCTAGTTAACTATAAGCCTTAAAACTTTATTAAAGTTGAAAATTTGATTAGATTACATCTCGTTCGTTCTATCATATTCGTATCTATATCATCGAACATTTGCATCAATTTTTACGAGCACCCTTTTTGTTTATGTTTATGTGCCCCTTTGTGACCCTTTCCCAGAATAAAACGTTCTCTTTATCGCTGTAAACTTTTTGGGTTATGGTAGTTCGGTCCACTCACATATGTTAGCATCTTGAGATCTATTACAAAAAAAAAATTGCCGAGTAGCTTTTTATAAAATTGTACAGACGTGTCTAGTCATGCGAAAATTTCAAAAGGTAGCATAGATGAAATCGTTATATCCTCTGGACGTTAACGACGTCCTTCGTTAGCGACCCATAAAGTTGAAATCAGCAATCAAGATGCTTTCTTAGATCACAAATGAGAATTGCAATCCTCATTTCGACATCGCACTGGTATTCGTATTTATGACAACTAAGGAATTTTTCATAGTACGATATGCACCGTAATTTGACGTTCATCGCTCGTTATGATTGCTGTCGAGTGTCGCGTAAATTTTCAATATTGGATTCTCCGTTGCAGGAAAATCGCTATCGTTAATGCTACAGCTGGGTTTTTGTAATTGTCAATCTAGTTATTTGGAGCAAAAGGAAAGACAGATGAAACAGAAGACAGTTTATCTTTGTTAGTTTCAGAAATTGATGTTTCTACATAAAAGCTATCTTTCTCCATTCTGATAGGCATCAATCATCTTCGGCAAGCTCACAGTCTCACTGAATTCGAGCATAACAAATGAACTGCTTCCACGATATTTCAACAACTATTCATTGAGGAGTACTTAATTCTTAACGGACTTGAAAAGTGATTGTTTGATTCATTATTATTCTACGCCAAATATACCCATCTACTGGTTAAGGTATCAGCGTCGTTAGAAAGTATACCTACTGACGTACATTGTTGTCACATTCTGAAATAAACATGGAAAATTGGATAACAATCTATAGAGTCAACAGTCTTCATCTCCTTCTTCAACAAATCTCATCCCCGTAATTCCTAACAATACAAGAAAAAGCACCTACCTCCATATAAATACACAATCTCTATGTCCGGTAGGTTTACTAACGTGACTGCATTGATAGCTTTTTGAATTGTATTCTGAAAAATGACAATTTAAGATTGTTAAACCGTTAGCAAGCTTCCATTACTACAAGCGAGGTTTTATTTGACAGCCATTAGGATTGAGACCCAAGGGTGCGACGCTGCAAAGATACAGATACAGTACATATTGAGTTTTAAATAGGTGTTAATCAGGGTAACTATTTTTTATTTCAGATACTTCTCTCGGGGTCAGCTCTAGCGTCGTGGGCACTGGTAGAAGACCCAGTCAACTATGCCGTCAAACTAGCGAGAGAAGTCAATTGTAGTATTCCAGAAGATGTCGGTAAGTTGTCATCCAAGAAGAAGTTTATCTCGAATAAAAAAAATAATACTAATACAGAAATAGCTGATAACATTTTTCCGTACCAATGGGAGGTCAAATCTCTGTTTATTGTCTTCACAGCTCTAGTTCCCGTAGGTTCTCTTAAGCCGTTGTGTCATGCTCTGCTAAGAGCTCTGCTCTTGTTCATTTTGGCAATTTTACTGCTGATGTCAGGCATAACCCTTGACAAAACGCCTTCCCATGCCCAGATCCAAACTGTCCCAATACTACTTACGGTGATGTGATGTGTGATCGTCTGTTAATGAAGTATCATACCTCAATCCACCTTTTTAAAACTTATATTTTTTTTATTTATAGGCAAGGACCACGAATCGATAGTAGACTGTCTTCGGCAAGTACCGCTAGTTCACCTTCTGCAAGCTGACATTACTCCTCCAGCCTACCTGAGCGCTTTTGGACCCAGCGTTGATGGAGTTGTCATCAAAGCGGATTTTGCTAAGGAGTTGGTTACGTATTTCAAGCCTCAGGACCTGCAGAATTTTGTCGGATCATCGGTGAGTATTCTCGCTTACAGTTTGATAAAAGTTTCCAAGTTCTGAGAAGTTTGCTTAAGGTCAGGCTATCTATCTCAATTGGACAACCGTACATGGATTTAGAGAATTTTTTAAATCGTGGGTTCCAAGAATTTTGCAAATTATTGGAAATCATTAACTTGAAAATATCGAAAAAAACATGTGACTCTGGAAGTGCCTAGCCTAAGGGCTTACAATATGTTCAAAAAACTCCAATATCAAATTAATTTTGTAAACTCTCACCAAAATATGTAATATATTTGGATTTGACTAACTATTCCTGGTGCGAGGTGTTTATGTTGCTTTGACAAATCTGGACTAACGGAATAGTTCAAAATTTATTGATCGATCAGTTCCAATTGTGTATTTATCATAATAACGTTGAAAGTACGAGCCCCTTCCCACTTCAATTGGCCCACTTCAAGGTTTGTGCCAAAATATGCCTTTATAAACTAAACATGACGAAAGCATTTACTTCTAAAACAATTTATTTTCACAAAGACATTTTAAATACACCCTAGTCGTAAAAAATAAATATTTGAAATCACTTAAACCTATAGCTAATAGAACATCTGAACAAATAAACTATGTGCGAATAAATGCGCGAAGTTAACAAAGCAACCATTGGGTAACATCACCTTTATCGTTCATTACGGCTGAAATTCTTTGGGGCATAGTGTTAACCAAGTTTTTGCAAAAAATTGGTGTAAAACAATCCCATATTTCTTGAAGCTTTTGTCTCAGTTCGGTGATTGTACGAGCAGGATGTTGACGTAGAACCTTTTTCATCTCGTGCCACAAAATTTCAATAGGTGACAGATCTGGACTGCTAGAAACCCATTTCAAAAGTGGTACATTATTTTCTTCCATCCATTTTATAGCCTTTATGGAGGTATGGCACGCTGCACCATCTTGCTGAAACACAAAATCTTGGCCGGATATCAAACATTCTTCCATCACTGGTAAAAGCGATTCTTCAAAGATTGCCAAATATTTGTTTGTATCCACATTTCCGTCAATAAAATGAAGTAGGTTTCCTACTCCTTTTAATGACATACTGCCCCAGACCATAATGGATGCTGGAATTTTCACTTTTCTCTTCAGACAGTCAACATGGAATGCTTCATTTTTTTTGCGACTGTCACCAATACAAACTTCGAATCGGGCCTCATCACTGCATTGTATTGCACACCATTGTCCATTGTCTATGTTCTGTAGCCCATCTATGCCGATTTTTCTTTTGCAGTCGAGTTAATAGTGGCTTTTCTTTGGCCTATAAACAATTTGTGCAACTTTAGGGTTCTTACTTCACTTTTTTTATAAAAAACTTACCTTGCAAGTGCTAAATCCCAGTTTGTGGGCCTCGCTATGAGTTGTGGACCTCGAAATTCTCCTTCCTTGTTTGATAAGAAAAAAACTAAGATTACAATAGTTTTGCCTACTGAAGTGGGAAGGGGCTCGTAATATAGCAATTCATGCTATACTGCCAATAGCCGAGAACCCCACTTGCCCTGTTTTATTTAGCAACCAATTTCCTTAAAGTTGAGCATGCCGTACATAATCCATAATAGAAAAGTTTAAAATTAATAGAATACTTTACAGCTTGAAAGTTTTCAACTTTGGGAAACAGTTCCTTTTTGTGTGACCTACTAGCAAATATGCACATTACACTGCCACAACTAGGGACGGCAAAGTAAAACTTCAGAACTTCCTCTTCCAGTGAATTGAACGAATAGTTTGCTGGTGCTCTGACCAGAGGCACGTACTTTATGTACACACGTGCTGTTGGTCAAAATTCAACTTTTCGCTATTTTGGTCGCAAACGCGGACGTGGTTCAGAGGAGAGGAAATGACTGTCTAAGCAACATGATGCATGTAAAACTTGTCCTTCAAAATATCGATACATGCATCTGATAACATTTTGAATAACGTCTTGATGATTTTTGAGCGATTTTGATAGACCGAAGTGAATATATTCTACCCATTTTTGAGACATTAACAGTTTGTTGGTGGAAAATATGAAAAAATGCACCTTTAGATATCATTGTAGATATGACTCCTAAGGTTCGTTACAATAATGCTGCTAGTAATATACGCGAATGCAGTTACAATGTTTTTACGTGGAGCTTTCGGTGCGCCAGCAACGTGGAAAAGTCACCCACAGGGGTATGACGGTTTTAAACGAAACGGCACGTGAAAAAGAAGAAGAAATAAATAAAAGCACCTTATGTTCCTGGTAGACAAGGTCATAGGGGTATGAAGCTGTTTATGAGTTTGAATAATTGTAAGTGATCCAGAAGACCCTGAATTGAATCTATTTATATTTGTGAGAGATTTCATAATTTTGTTACTTTAATGTAGTTATTTATTTTATTTTTTCCAAAGATAGATTCATGCAAAGTGCAACAGAGATTACATCTTGTTCCTTTGTGATACATAAGCAGCTGTTATGTAATGGGTTCTTAAGAAGACTATGCTTAGTATTCATTCATTACGAATATTTCATAATTGCCTCTATCGTAACATGATATTACAATGCTATAGTTGTAGTCAGCGTTGTTGGCGGTTACGTCATCAACGCCATATGAAATAAGTAAACAGATCAAGTCTCCGTGTCATGGGCGGATATTGAGCGGATAGGTCGTGACGTGTTGTCCTTTACTTTTCATATCCTAGCAAGTATTTCTAATTTCTGTTTTGATGGCATCACTTACGTCATCGATCTTGCATTTTTTGATTTTGTGAGTTTCTCCAGATGATACTATGGGAAAACCTTTCTAATTTTCTGATTTTTTTCGATGACAAATCTTCAGCGCATCGGCTGCTCTCTCCGGTACGCATGAAATGGGTAACAGGGGACCGCTGTTTCCATTCTCTTCCTGGAAATACTCTAATAAATTTAGCACGAGTTGCCGGCCTTCGTTGATCGTATTTCCGGGAATTGTATATTTTCTATTGAGGATCGATAACAGGACAACTTAACTTGCACGCCGTTGTCAAGTAAGTTGTTACTCTGACAAATATAATTTAAGAGCACTCATACGTCACGACAAAGTTTTCGAGACGGAGACACACAACTAAAAAACTTATGTCTGAGCTTACCGCGCAAACGTTCACACACAAGGGTAGGTGGCGTGTGTATGTATCAGGGAGATGGAGATATATAAAGGCATACTAGTAGACTTACTTTGACCCGCCAGGAACAACTATAGAAAGCTCTGGTAGGTAACTTTACAGTGCTCCTTCAGGTAAAATGTATCCATAACAGAAATAAAAAACTGCGCACGTGCCAAGAAAGAACATTGCACCGAATCTTACCATGATTATACAGAAGTATATTTTGCACACATTGTAATTACCTATTTTTTTCTTATATATTAATATGTGAGATATTGGATTCTTTAATGAGTGCCATATGTATTGTATGCCACAATACTAATATTACCTGTATACTAAATGTTGTCTGACTGGCTGTTGGAGAACGTTTCCATTTGTCACGTACAATGTTATTAGAGTCATCTATCTGAGTCACCCTACTTTGATAGAGCGGTATCCATGAAAAAATATTACATCGTCTTTCTACTTTTCGTATATTGGTAGAAGTCAGAAATCATTAAGATTTTTTGAGCCTCCAAAGCTTTCAAAATCATCCAATCTAAGTATCAAGATTCGAGATTGTATGGTAAATTCTCAAAATTGTATGCATTTGAAATCATTCAAGGATTCAAAATTATAAGAAATTAAATAATATTTCACCTAAAAGATTATCAAAACTCGTCTAACCTTAGAAACTTGAAAAGTAGTTACGGCCAACAACACTTTGTGAAGCTAGAAATTTTTAAAATTTATAATTTACAAGGTTTCTGCATCCCCAAACCTCCACTTTCTTGTATCTGAGTTGTCATCAGTTTCTAAATCTCTGGTTTTCGATCATTTCTAAATTTCAAAATCAGTGGACTCGTGATTTTAAGAAGTTACGGTTGCAACATGAAAAATTTCCAATTTCGATAACTTTTAACATTCTTCAAATTTCATACTTTGAAAATTATCTGAAGTCCGTTGCAGTCTGCATAGTTTTCAAATTTCGTAGTCATCGAAATATACAAAATTTCAAAAATCCCTAGACTGTAATATATTCTAAAATTTTGTGACTCTTGAAATTTTCAAAATTTTTATTTTTCAAGGTTTCTGCATCCCCAAACCTCCACTTTCCAATATTTCAGTTGTCATCAGTTTCTAAAGCTGTGGTTTACGATCTTTTCTAAATTTTAAAATCAATGAACTCATCATTTTAAGCGGCTACGATTCTCATAATTCTCAAAAATATCATATTCTTCAGAATATTTACTTAATACTCATTTCCATAACATTCAACATTCTTTGAAGATTATCTGATTCTTTTAAGACCGTTGCAGTCCTCATAGTTTTCAAACTTCCGTTGATCCCATAAATAGTCATCGAAATATGCAAAATTTACAAAATTTTCAAAATATCTAAACTTTTAAAGGTAATCCGTATTTTAAAAGCGCTCTAAATCTATAAAACTTTTAATTTTTAAGTGATTTTCAAGATTTTCTATTTTTTAAATATCTAAGCCATTCGGTTTCTTCAAGGCTACCAAAATACTTAATATCTTGCTAGGTTCCAACATATTTGAAATATTTAGAATCTCAATATCTTTAAGATTCTCAATATTTTCAAATCTTTATTATTTTTAGAATTATGAAATTTCAAAACCCTCCAAATCTTCTATTAAGGTTTTTGCAATTTGTCATATATTCGTGTTTCTTCAACATCTTCAGAATGCCTAATTCTTAAATTACCCAATGTATTCAAGGTTATAAAGATTTACAAAAATTTAACATATTTGCGTCTCAATATAACCGAAACTTTTACAATTCGTGAAAGCTGCGTGCTTGCCAAGGTCTGAAAGTTTTTGATAGTCAAACCACTCAAGCTTTTTCTGAACTTCGATACCCTTCAAAACATCCAATACTTTGTCGAATTGTGAAGTGACAATCAAAAACACCACAGCCTATTTTATGACCAAAATATTTCTTTTCAGGTGAACTCGAACATGAAACGTAGCGAGGCCAGCCTGACCCCTCGGGGTAGCAACCCCTACGACCTCCTGTTTGGCGTAGTGACCAGCGAGGCTCTTTGGAGGTTCTCAAACAACGACATCACGGCGGGCTTTGAAGGCGAGCGAAGGGACAAAATCATCAGGACTTATGTAAGGAACGCCTACACGTATCACCTGAGCGAGATCTTTTTTACTGTGGTCAACGAGTACACGGACTGGGAGAGGACTGTGCAACATCCCATCAACACCCGGTGAGGACGTAGCTTAGAACGACCTTTAACATGCTTGTACCAAGGGTGCATCAACTTGAAAAATCCCACATAAGAACTGATAGGAAAATTTTAGGATTTGGTCGCCGTTTTACAATATGACGACTTAATGAGCACGATTCGATTAAGCGATATTTTTTTCCACATACACACGTACTATATATTTGATCAACCCCGACAAGAAAAATTTCAAACACATATCAACGCACGTGTACCCATACTGTACTGTCTAGTTTCATAGTCTTCGTTTCTGCAATATTTGAAATGCTTAGTCGGATTTTTTTAAACCGGTTTCAACTCTACCATGAAATGAATCACTTTTTATCGAAAGAATTGTTTTTTAAAGGTCTTCGCAAAGTGCTAAAAATTTATAACCGTAGGATATTTCAATAATTATTGTAATAATTGGAAGGTATTGTATCATAATATGTGTATACCTTTAGAAACTAAGTAGACTGAGCTTTAAAAAATCGAAGCTGGTCCACTGGTTACGAAGATATGTTGAAATGTTGTAAAACAGAGCACGCATAACTTCATACGTGACCTCAAAGGCTGATCCGGGACTTTGCGAGATTTTGCAATGTTATTTCAATTTTGTGATAAAAAGTAAGCCATTCTCATACTTACGGTAATTGTGTTTCTTATTTTTTATGCAAAATGTATTACTACTACATGATTTTTATAGTATTGAATATATCTCTTACCTGGTGAGGTCACTACAAAGACCACATAACTCTCAAAGAGAAGTTCTTAGTAATTGGCATTGGCACTCGATAAATTAGGTCAGAAACTGGAGTTACAGTGGCCTGGCTATTTTATCCGCCGACAAAATTAAGAGAACATAAACTAAACTGTTATATCCGTATCAGGTAAAAGTGTGAAAATATATTCAACTTAAATAGCAGAATTGTGGAGCTACTTCGTTTTTCGGCAAGCTGACGATTTGCTCCTTTATCTATCATATAGACACAAAAATGGCGTCAAGTAGGTTGACCCCGCACTTCCCAGGCAATGCCACTTCCAGTTCTTAAAGGATTATGTTCAGTACAAACAAGACCCGCTGAGAAAAAGGTCAGTCAAACTGGCCCATAAACTTAGTCCATAGTCATTCTCCTGACTGAGTAAAGTATCGGGACTTTATTCAGTCAGACATAGCAGCGCGGCCAGGGCATAGGAAACACTATGCCGAGGCGCGGTAGAAATAATAATAATAATACCAGAATAACAGAACGCCAAGACCGGCGGCACGACGCCGAGAGCAGCAGCCGCGGCCGATAGGTATGCGATCCATCTGCCAAGTTGTAAAGGCTAATGAAATGTGAAATATGTTCATTATGTGCGTAGAACTACCAATTTTCGGAGTGTAAAAATGTACTAATATCAAAAAATTGCGTCAAGTGGGTTGACTCTGCACTTCCTACACAACGCCATCAGTTCAAAGATGATTAAGTGCAACGCAATTTAAATCCTCCGAGGAGGCGGTATGTACAACAGTGAAATTAAACGTACCAAGTCCCATGTCCCATACATTAGTCCATAGATATTCTATTCTGTCCTATGTGGCAACGCTGGGGACAGCGAAAGGGATTCGGTGTCTGCGCGGCATCGGTGCAGCGAGTTATCTTTCGCTTCGTGCAAGGTCCGTGTTTTTTGAGCTTCAGTTCGGATAGGTAAAAGCCGGGCCGGTTCGCCAGGCGGTGGGTTAAGATATGTGGGAGTACGCAGATCGAAAACATTTCTCTATCATTCTAAGGAAATGTACGGGTGAATCTATCATGTGTGAAATATGGCTAAGTAGACAAAAAAAGAAAGTATCATTTTTTTGTTTTTGGCCTTGCTTTTCGCCACTACTGAACCGAGTTTCCGTCCTTGATATAGTAGTAACATTGTGTAAAAATTCCATCAAAACTCGAGCGGTACTTCTCGAGTAATAGGCGGTTATAAGATTAGCGGACCGACAGACAGGCAAACAGACAGACATTCCGAAAAAATGAGTGACATGGTTTTTCGTGATGTATATGGCACAATTCAAATCGATTTTGAGAATTTTCGCGATTATAGTACTTTCACACTAGTATGTCTGGGAAGTAGAAACTACAAAAACCAGAAAACGAAATAAAATATTGCAGCAACATTCGGGTATCAGGAGTAACGAGTATCCCGAACCTGAATTCTTCTCGCCAGCAGTTTTGTTTCTTCCTCCCAAAGCCAACTCAGAAACTTATAGAACATGATTTCAGTGTTCCTGATAACCACGACACTGTGGGGATTCTACTAGGACAGAGATAGCTGGGAGACACGCGTTGATTATGCTCAACAAAAATGTACATTTAACATGTTGAGCTTTGGAATATCTTGCAAATGAGCCACTTTTATTATAGGAGGGATTGAAAACTATATCAAAAGCAATTGTAGCAGAACTGTAATGTCTAAATATGGTTTTAATTTTAGTATTGTAGCTGTTGAATTCCGCATATGCCTAGCTCTTGCAAGACATATACTTAAAAAGTCAAAACTTCCGAAAATTCTGTGAATTCAGCAGATTCCTATAGTTTATACAGAAAACCGTACCTCCGTGGTGCGTTAATTCCTTGGACAGGTTAATCGATTTTGAGAATAAGGGACTCCTTCAGAAACACAAACATAATCTCAATGTCACTAACATTAGGTGCAATAATCCAGAGCAAATCACTCCACCATGTACGCGGTAATCGGCCTTTTGAAAAAAGTAGTACTCGGTGCATTCCTGATCTGAACATCCACTATAATATCGATAAAGCGTGTAATCAAGAAATATGTCTGTTCTGAAAAAAGGGGCAAAGTATGCTTTAAAAAGTTGAAGTTGGCCAACTGACTGTGGAAATATATTGACAAACTGTTTTACAACATTTGCAGCCATTTTTAAATGTGGCGGCCGAGCGACATAGAAGAGATGATGTTAGTATCTGCTCCGTTCTCTTTAATTCTGATGCTATACAATTTTAGAAAGCAACTACTCTACTTTAACATGGTTAGTGCTAAATACACTATTTCCTTACAGAGACGCAGTTGTCGCAGCACTGAGCGATGCTCAGTTTGTGGCACCTCTGGTTCAGACTGGTGACCTTCTGAGCGCTAGACCTCCACAGCCTGGTCAGGAGCAGAGAGGACCAAAAACTTTTTTCTATGTATTTGACTATCAGACGAAGGAAGGGGACTATCCACAGGTAAGCGATTACAAATGTTGTGAATATTTACACTTGTAAAGACTTACGCAAGTGATCAATACAGGTTAATGTTTGAAAGTTGAAGCATTAATTGTGAGCTTTCGTTCACAATTTTTCGGAGAGCTGGCTTGACACAAGGAATTACAGGTCACTTACTAGATATATTGGGTCTGAGATCACAGATATTCTACTCTACTTCTATTATATCAACAAGCTATCCACATATTTGGTCCAAGCAAATGATTTTGTTTTTCTGAAGAACCATAGGTTAACAATAATGGTGTACCCGTGAGTCTTCATGAAAGTGGGTCATACCTTAAAATTTTAGGATTTGGGATATGCTCTATGAACGCGAAGTCGATCGTTTAAAATATAATAATATTTATATAATGTAAATAATTTGAAAGTGGACAATGGTTTTTGGAAAACTTGGCATTTAATACCAATCGTACCTGCTGAACCTTGTTGTCAGAACTATGATCTCCTCGCTTACCGATAAAAGCATTCATATGTATGCCGAGAACCGCGACATGGAGCAGTGAGCTTTCCAACAGAAATACACATACTAGAAGTGTGTGTGTTCTTGTAAAACGTGTGTGTTCTTGTAAAACGAGACCCCACTTTTCTATGTGCTCTTGATAGAGTCTCCTATTACCGCGAGACTGCTGATGGACCCGTGGATTCCTTCCCATGTAAGCAGTGTCACTCTAGTCAGGCGGAAAATAAAGCGTCTCAGGAAATGTACTTTTTGTTACTTAGGTGGTGTTGCATACAGATTATGTTGAGACGTATTGTAGATTCGTCGTATAAACACTGATACGAAATCACCCGGTTATCTGTTTCAAATGAAAGCTGCCAAATATGAACCTGTAAGCATGGTTTTGAATTGCGTCTCCTCAATAGAATGAACTTCTATATACGAGTTGTGTTTTCCCTATACATGTCATTGGCTATATATGACAAAGCTTTCTTCTTGAGCTTTTCGAAAAATGGTTGCCGCGTCCGATATAGCAAAATAGTTCTCGGTGACTTTGTCTGGTATCTGGGCAACCAGTCCTGATGTACCTACAGACCCACAATACTTTAAGCAAGAGCAAAGGTCCTACAAACCGCTCTCACGGACAACTACGAATAGAAGACCACACATATCATATTCACGGCAATGGATATTGCTTTCAGCCGGGATCGCCCTTCCCCTTTAATTTCGTTTGAAATAATGATTCAGGTAGCGAGTACCAGATCAACTTGTGGGCCCCTATAGCCGAGTGGTAAGCCCTGCGTGCTAGCTATTGGTCGATCAGCGGGTTCGAATCTCCGGATCGAAAGTTAGTTTTGAACCATGGATGTTATGTTGTGTGTCATGCACCATATCGGTGCAAGGTCAACATCGCAATGCTGGAGCAGGTTTATTCAGTAAACAGTTATCAATCGATGGCTTGTGGAGTGTGCGCACAGTGTTTGTACTACGGGGGTTGTAAGGTGTCGTCAAAAAGGGTCTGAGATGGCCTAGTTGCCAGGCTCGGTCTTCCTGCCACTACTACTAGTACTACCTGGATAACCTTATTACATTTCTACCTGTCTTCCTATACCAGACCTCCTCAACGGTTCTTCGTTTGTGATGTTAACTGACCAGGGGATACAAAAAAGTCGTCGAAGTCCTTAAGTCTCTTCATCGTTCTTGCTTTAAATCACCAGGTTGAAACACCGTACAATACTGTAGGCCATATGTAACGTTGTGTTACACGTATTCTGGTGTTCAGTCGCAAATGTTTGCAAAAAAGTGCGTTATTGGGATTGAAAAATATTATCATTGTTCAGCCTAATCGTCTTTTTATTTCTCCGTAGTACTCCCATTTTGCATTTAACGCAGCTCTGGGTTATGTGAACTTTGCGACGATTTAAATTATTCTTTGTTAATTGGGAGAGTTACTACTCTACTCACAATATTTTGTGATGACATCTGTTGATCATCTATTTTCGTTTTGGCAGTATTGAATTTTCTTTTCATCTTGTTTAAAATTTCTTCTTTGCCTTTGATGTTATTTGTAAGTATTCACTAACAGATAGCATTTATTGGAAGTCCATTGATTTCGATGCCTCTTGTCTTGTTTTCTAATGCTGACTAGAGGACGTTATGGAGCATCAAAGTCATCTCAGCATTCTGGTGAACTGAGTCTCCCTTAAAAAATGAGCTCCTATCCACATATCCCAAAGCCTTGTGGGTTCACATACGGGACTGCATCTCCCTCTGAATAACTGAGACGTTATGGAACAGAGCAGTCGTGCGAAAAGCATCCACAGCTGTGAAGGCGTACCCAGCAGCGTCGGAAGGTTTCATTTTCCTATAAATTAATATCCTTCTCCCATCTGCCGTTTCAGAATCACGCGCTGTTCCCTCTTCCCGAAAGACGAGCACATTTTTATTTGCAGCACAGGACTTTGCGCTACGTGCCCACAGGATTTCTGAACATCATTTGAGATTTCGAAACAAGTATGGCTTCAAAGCTTATCATATTAGGTAGCTTATCATATAAGGTAGCTTATTATGTCAGCGGATGGTATGTACAGGTACACTGCAGAGTGCTTTTTAGAAAAGTTTTCCCCACCTATTCTTTTAGCGGCTCAAGCCTGCTAGCTGGAACTTGGGATGAGGGAATACTTCATTTTAGCGTCCGTTATTCTGAACTATAGTGATTTCATTTTGAGAGATTAAAAAGTGCTGACAAAAATTTTCAAATTAAGGTTCACACATTCCATCTGAAAAAATTCTATGGTGGCGCCCAACCACAATCTTGCAATTTTCAACTATCACTTTTCTGTTGAAATATATTATCCGTGCGTCAACCTGATGATCTTTAATTCTAGATTGCTAACCTGACCTGTTCAAGAAACGTATGTTAAGAATCGGGTGTGTCTGAATAGAGGAATATAGGAAATAAAATACTGAAGAATCACATTTCAGCAAAATATTTCTTACATTTACAGCGATAAATTATCGTCAGATAAGCACTCAAGTGTCGAAGATCCAAAAGCTTTGTTAACAATGAAGTATTCGTGCAAGCGCATGATAGTCAATGTCCATAATGTGTCGAATCTTCGGTACCGTTGAACTTTGGAGTTGAGGGGTACGTCCATGGTAAGGCTGGCTGCAAAAACGTGCTAAATACTTCTGCCTCAGCGTTAGACTCGATTCCAAGGATTCCCTGCCGCCTGCCAGCGACTATGAAGCGACATTTACCTGTACCTAATGTTAGTGTTGCGCTGGTTCCGAAGCATTACGAACAGCTACGTTATATCTTATATCTCAGTGTTAGTTTGTCTGTCCTCGACATTGAATTTTCCCAATGTTGTCCTATCTCGTGTCGGCGAGCAGGCTAGTATCTAATGAAGTCATTGTTTCTGATAGAGCCTTCCCCGGCAGGGGATATATAGGGTGCCTCAACAAGAGCGTCGTATTTGAATTTGCCGCCATGTTTTTTGTACAAATGGTATGGTGTATACTTGATGACAGATGTCATGTTCATACCCCGCAATTAGACGTCATGGGGCAGTATTTAACCGAGCAACCTTTAATTATTGTGAAAGCTCTCTACAAAATGGAGAAAATGACGTTGAGGTAGTTCGAAATTACTTACAATTTTCGGTCGCAATAATGTGCCAAATGAGTCGACAGTTCGCCGTTTAATTACAAAACTTGAGACAAAATTCACGTTGCTGAATGTGAAGACTGCTATTCGTAGCCGTCCTGGTCGGTCTCTCAAAATAGTCGCAGAGCGGGAAAGTGTGGCCGAGAATCCAGGCACTTCCATTCGGCACCGTGGCCAAGAGTTGAACTTCACCAGACCCACTCAGCAACGAATTTTGACAAAAGGTCTGTGCTTGCATGCGTACAAGGTTCAACTGACGCAAAAACTCAAGCCAAGGGACCATGCGCAGCGCCGTGATTTCGTTGATTAGGCGCTGGAGCACCACCAAAGTGATGCGGATTTCTCGAAGAAAATCATTTTCTCTGATGTAATAATCGAACAGGCAATGCATCCGCCGCGAGTTGGTTACGCATTGTGGAGTGGCGGAGTGATTGAGCCGTATTTCTTCGAAAACGCAGCTGGAACTGCGGTGACTGTTAATGCTGTGTGGTATTGCGAATTGCTAACCGTGCTTCTGTGGCCCCAGTTGGATCGAATTGATGTGGAGGATATGTTCCAACAAGACTGTGCGACCCGCCACACAGCACGCGACACAATGGTGTTGCTGCGGACCAAGTCTCCAGACTCGTGTCATCTCTCGGTTTGGCAATCAGAATCGGCCACCAAGATCGTGCGACCTAACGCCAATGGACTTCTTCCTCTGGGGCTATGTGCAGGAAAAGATGTAAGCGAACAAGCTACAAAGGAGAGATACGGCCTGTTATCGACGAAATAGAGCAACAGTTGTGCGAAAATGTTATCCAAAATTTTAGGAAGCGACTGACCCTGTGCCAGAGGTTGTATGGTGGCCATTTACCAGATGTCCTATTTTAGGTTTAATCGCAGCTATTCCTCTTCATGTCGCTTAAGTGCTACTAGCGATTTCCACTACCTTCCTGCTTGTGCACCCCAAAATTGCCGCTTGCGGATATATCCATCATACCCATACTAAAAATCAAAAGTAATCAAATATTATCTATTTTAGGGCTTTCAATCTGTTTTAATAATAAAAACACTTATTTATTGAATTAGAACAAAGACTTATTTTTAAATGTGTATTTTACACACAAAATATTGTTTTTTGTGGATATATACGTCATATGCTGAGCATACATTTTTTATTTGGTTTTACTCAAAAGTACCACACAATCAGGCAATTAATCATTTTATTGTTTTAACGAAAATAACATAAACATTTCATACAAGCTCAAACATATGTAAGGCATAAAATATGTCTTGAAGAACATTATATTTGGAAAAATAAAAAATATAAATAAACTCAAACATATCTAAACTCAAATTAATAACGTATTTCCATATGGAACAAGCCGAAACAAGGTGCCGGATATAAACCGGTTCTGCATTCTAAGCAGCAGTCAGCAAAATGTATAGATCCACGGGATGTCTAAAGGTTCAATCGGTTTGCAATTTGCTTCCCCTTCGTCTTCAGACAAACTGAATTCGCTATCAGAGCCATCCTAACATGAATTCGCTCTGGGTACTACTGTCGAAATCTTCAGAGTAAAACAAAACATTCAATTCCGCTTTTTTTTGCCACTGTGAACAACGAAATGCCCGTCGGCCATTTACTACACGCTTCTGCGCGACCTGGTCTAAAAGTAGACCGAAAACTGGGTAGCAATGTAATGACCGGCAGAGAAAAGGGTGGGGAATCGTAATATCTATCGCAAGCGAGTCAAATTCGCGGAGACGACCAACTAAAATTGTCGTGCGAGTATATCTGTCATAAGCATCAAGCCTAACTTTTTAAGATGCGGATATATCCGTCATAAGTAGTTTAGAGATTATTGAGACACCCTTTATTTTAGAAACGTCTCACTGATAAGCACTTTTAAAGACGTCGCCTAGCAACGTGCTTTATTAGGGTCGATGAAGATATCTCAGAGTTCAACATGGTTGCCAATTCAAGGGGCTTCTGTATACAACAATAGGATACTCTGAATGCTGAGCTGACTACGTCTTCATGGCGTCCCGGTGAAGAAGGCAAGGAGGATATACTTCACCATCCCAAAATGAATGACTGTAATTGCTGCTGAACAGTAAGCTGCCACGTAAGAGTCAGCAGGGCATACATTTCCAAGGGAATTTACAGTAAAAACTTGGTTTGAGCCCTCGACAGTCAGGATTCATTTTCTGTGTGCCACGTTGGTTGTCAATGACATCACTGACCTTTCTCAACTGAAACACAACTCACCATCTACCTTCCGCCATGCAAATACAAACACTCGTACATTACAAAGTGGAGCAAGTAAGTTTCCCTTAGCAAACCGAACACAATATCCAAGTCGCTTAAAGGATTTAATGAATGCCCCATGAGGCCGTCCTTTACAGCCTGCGGCAGCCATTGTACAAATACCTCCCGAAAGCCTTGTAAGGATAACGTATGAATCGTTAGGCCATTAAAGGCGGCTATAGCTCGGTTCGGTTGGCATATACGTACGAGCATTTGTCGGAAGCGCCGCGCCAGCCATAATGTGTCCTCGAAGGAACGGTATGGTATAATGTTTGTAGAGTTAAGCAAATTACTCCAATCGAATAAGTTTCAAGTAGTATCTAAGTGAAAATAAATTACAAAGTTGCACGCGTATCTGCTTTGGCATATTTGGGCATATCCGACCATTTAAAGGATGCATTATTGCCTACGTTCCAAGACTTATCCATACAGTTTATCCTGGAGTGTGTCAAAAACATTAAGGTTATTTGCTAATAGTCTAAACCGCGACAACACTCGATCACAAGTCATCGCGGATTCAGATAAAAATAGTATCAAAGTGAGGTTGGTAACGAGCAGGCTTATTTAGTTATTAAGGTCCTTAATTTGTATTTATAAATCGTAAAATGGACGTAACTGTGATATAATTGTTACCAAAATTTTAATCAAAATGCCACTGTTAACAACGATGTTGTTGAAATAGAGTTGTCATTGACAGTATTTCTAGGTCAGATGTGGAGGAATGTTGTACAGGGTTATTTATGCATATGAAAACAACGTCTTCTGTTGTAAAAAGGTATTTATATGAGGTGTATATTTCGCAAGATGACTGCTACATTCTCTAAAAGACAGATTAGTGAATATTGTTTGAAATGAGCTTTGAAGAGACTTCGTGAAAATTTCGGCATGTACGCGAATCTTGGAACTAGTTTCCTCACCACCCGAAAGATAGAGATACGGAAAAATGTGAACGAATTTGTTTTTGCTCAAAGCAAAGGACCTCTTAGCAAAGTGGTTTGACAGCCAGCGACACTCGACCTTAGGTGATCGGGAATGTTAACTATCACGCACCCTTTAGTGCAAGTGCCATCTATATTGGTTCAAATATTCCCATCCAGACTGCCAATTTTAGTTATTGCCGGAGGGTTACTGGAAATTATAGTTCCAATTCGTTTCGAAAATATGTGCTTAAGTCAGAATTCTTTTACGTGGATACGATACTTGGATTCTCAATGACACAATAATTACTGTTTTCTACTTCTGTTGCTGTAAAATATTAAATATAGACTTTTCCAGACTGACATATTGTTACCGGATACACGCTCTGAAAATAGATACTTTGATTACCTCACCTAGACGGAATTTTGAACTTATTGGAGAAATAGGTTCATTAAGCTGTTGGTCACTAGTAACCACACATATTATTAATAGCCTATCCATCCTGTAGTATCATAATATACTACATCTAACAGCAAATATCTGTCTTTCTTCAGAGGATGGGTACCGTACATGGAGAGGAACTGCCTTATATCTTCGGAGCTCCACTAGTGGATGGATTTAGCCATTTCCCAAAGAACTATACGAGAGCAGAGCTAGCACTTTCGGAATCATTCATCATCTATGTGGCCAACTTCGCCAGAACTGGGTGAGTATCGAACACATAAATATCAGTACCACTTGTATATACATAGAATTTGTTCGTTGATTCTCTAAATATACATAGCTGTTCATAGTTACTCTAACTGGAATAAGCTCTCATGAGAATGAAAATATTAGTCAACTTTCTGTCATCTTTATTAATCTTTGGCTAATGTAGTGACCAAACAGGAAGCCGTCAATCGTCACATCTTATAAAATACCTGATTCTATTTCACATCCCTCAGTGTTATTGCTTCTCTACGACTCCTGCTGTGCCCAATTTCAAGCGAGATACTGGCGCTGATATTTGCTTCCAATTTTCCTTAGGTAAACACAATACGTAAAAAGCTTTTTTATGCTTAAATATATTTCCATATCTCGGTATCTTCACTGACATTCTTTGTCAGCAAGAATGGAACTTATAAAAAATTGTGTTTGACAGTATCCGGTAAAAGAGACGCAAACGATGTATCCCTAAGGTGGATTAAATCGCATAAAGGGACTAAGGAGGCGATCATAACGAGAATACTTTTGGGAACGTGAAACTCAAGTCGAGAAGTTCTACACACATCAAGGTGTTTTTTTGTGGATAATGGAAACATTTTTATTTGCGAATAGAAAACGTGGTGTCGCGAGGATTCGAAACCACAATCCTGGTATTCCGTATTAACATTTTTGCCATTTACACCACATTAGTGCGTACAATCCTTTGAAGACCATTATGGACTGTGAATTGCGAAATGGCATCCTTAAGTGTCGAAAGTGCTGCTAAGATCTCATAGTTGTTCCTTGATCAAACAGCCTCTCCTTGCCGGGGCCCACAAGGAAAAACAACGTAATCAACTGGTAATCGCAACAAGACTAGACACATATATACAAGTGGAAGCTTTCTTCCAGACTCAGCTACCCCTTGCTGGAACTAGCCTCAATACTCGGTCGTGCTTTTGAAAAATATTATACATAATAAGCCCTCAAAATGGTAAGGTCACATTCAGCTTTCAGCTCATGTCACGAGACAAGACTATCCTAAAATAATGTTTATTCAAGAGGAAAATGGCATAAACATTATGTACGCTCATCGAGAAAAGTTTGGAAACTACTCAATTGGGCAAACCGAACAAACTTAACTGCACCGAGTGGTTAAGGTCTAATAGCACTTTCTCTCATATCCGAACACTCCATATAAAATAATAATTGGATTTCTCCTTACTGTGTGTAGCTTCAAGGCTTCGAGTGAAGTAATTAAGAGCCGCCGATAATCAGCCTTTCAGAACTACTTACTTCTGCTGCTCATCGCGTTAAAAGCTCTTATTTTCGCACCAATAGCGAGAGGCAAGAATTTCAAATTAACTTTCTTAATTTGGAACCATATTTACTTTTTGTCCTTTCATTAGCTCTTCCGCTGATTGAGGTGTTTTCCTTGAAGCAATTTGGAACCTTTTAATGCGCTATCCGCTTGGAATAAGTTTTAGCGTGAAAGCTCCTTAATGTTGTCGTACTGCACATTGATACAGGCTCATTGATTTCTTATTCATAGCACATAGGAGAATAATCTTCAATGGAGACTTGTGTGTTTAACATTTACGATTAAAAACATTTGGTTTGGTCCACACCCTGTGGGCGGCTGTATTTATCCAGGAGAAAAATATTGCAGAAAGTCAGTATACATTTTCGTATACTCTTATTTATCTCTAGTCCCTACAAGAACTTCTTTCTAGGGCTGTGTGGTGTTTAGATCATCACGCTTAAATCATGAATCTGGTATCATTGATAAGGGCACCGCGATAAGTTGTCGTTATTTGGCGGTCATATTTGTCATCAGCATCTCATATTACCCCAGTATACCAAGTTTTCTTTGCCGATGAATGCAGGTAATGAAAGTGGGAATTTGGCGTCGGAAGACTTCAAATTCAGACGTGTTCATCCGCACATAAATGGACATAGTGAAGTGGTAGGCCTTTTCACATTTAAAAATTGAATTATGTCCTAATTTGTTATTTACGCATATACAGAGTGATTTCCAGATATGCCAAATATTTACTGTAAAATGTCTCAAGTTTCTCTTGATGTAACAAGGTGTTTGCTTGCGTTAAAAAAAATCAGGGCCGGTCTCGATTTTTTCATTTTTTGTTTTTTCGATCAAAATCGACATATTTTTAAGTTGACTATTTTAGTGTTTGATCATGTACAAAAAAGCCAATTAGAATCAGAGTAGAGTGATCGCGCCTCTTTGCGACTTATACCTTACTACTTCGATAAGAAACAACAAAACAAGAAAGTGAAAAAATCGAGTTCAGCCCTGCATTTTTTGAGCATCTTTCTTTTTACGTTACTCTAAGCAACTTTTTTATTGTGAGAAATGCCAACAAGATCGGTTCAATAGTGCCTGAGTTAGTTGCTTTTTCAGATTTGGCGCGCCTAGACATATCACCCTGTATCTTCATAGAAACTAAATTAAGATCACCTATTTGATTTCAGATATGGAAAGGTCTCATTCCATTGACCAGACAAGTATAAAGCCGTTGTAGAAAGAATTCAAAAATTCTAGCATTTTTCGCAATTCTGACCAAAACCCATTTCTTGGGTAAGGCGGTTGACTGGAATGTTCATTTTTCGCTGCGATTGAATAACGGGATCAAAATACCCCTTTTTCAACTCTACATAGGGCTTCGTGGACTTCCTCCATATTGGGTTTCGTTCGCTTATAGACACAAAAGATGACAATAAAAATTTAAAGATTTCAAATTCACATATTTAAGCCGTCGCGTAAGCAGAAACCTGAATATCGGGACACTGCGGCTGCTACAAGGAACTTCAAGATGCCTTGTTAATCCGATTTTTGAACTGCCTAAGGTTAGCAGAACTGGAAAAAACCTGATCAGGCAGATTGTTCCATAATCTCTACACCATGACCAAGTTGGTCCGCCGGTCAGACTCAACGCGTGTGGCGGCCTCAAGGATGGGAACTTTGAGGAGCAAAGCCCATTGGTACAGCGATAGAAAACAGCAAGATCGCCGACAGCCCATCCGTCGGTGCAAAAGGGTCCCGATGCTGTACATTAGAGTGTTCAAGGATATCAGAGCAGCAGAACCCCATACATATAGGCAATCAACCAACCAAAATCTATTTATTTTGCATACTTATCATTACTGAGTTATTTTATTTTTACGGCTCAGTTTTCATTGGTAAGAGGACGACTTAACGCGCGGCGGCATCATGGAGGAAACCTCTGAGGAGCAAAGCTCGTTCACATAACAGTAGAAGAAAACAGCATCGCCATCGGTGCGAAAGAACCCCGAGATCGTCCGTCAGAGAAGTGTCACTGTTCAGTCGAGCAGCGCTCCTTCGAGTATAGACAGTGTAGTTGGGGCAGCAGAGCTCCAAACATGTGAGCAGTACTCGAGACTAGGTCTTATTTGTTACATATACAGAGTGATGAGGTTGTGCAGAGAAAGGTACTCCTTAGCCCTAAGCAGATAACCTAGCCTTTTACCGACAGCTGTTGCGATTGATGAGATGTGTTCGTGCCAAATCAAGTGCCCGGTGGTCTGGACTCCGACCAGCCGAATTGAATGGTCCTTTGGCAGAACTTGTTCATCTATCGAAACCAGACGAGCGCTTGGAGGCTTTCTGTTAGTCAAGGTACATTATGAAGTTTTAATATCAACGAAATTTCTGCAATATTGTCTTTGTCTTAGACCGAAGTTCTACGATCTACCTGTTTTTCTGCTCCAGCCTCAAATCACCATTATATATTATATCGCGCATCTGGCTCAGACCGATTTCAAGGCAACTTTCAAGTTTGTACCGACTGCAATGTACAGCTAAGCCAGAAATGTTCAAGCGAAAAGGAAAGCTGCAGAAAGCCGGCAGGTTATTAAAAGTTATATTCGCCTGTGAAATCGCACCGCATCGCCATGCCGCTTGCAGTAATCCTACTGAATTCCGGTGAATTCCTGACTGTGGCGCTGGCGAACCTTTGTTGCCGGCGATACACGAAATCGGGAATAATGCCCGGGCAGAAACAATGATATTATTCGCCGGATAATGGGCTAAAGTGGGACACGGGGAAAATTAAGTCCTTGTTGCTGGCTTTTTGAATTTGAGAGCCGGGCTTGGTGATAGGAGTACGCCGTAGATCTATTTATATTTGTAGTCGGAGATCACCTGTTGAATGCCTTTTAGTTATTATAATCTTGCCTTTGTGAATCACATCCGGCTTTTCTGAACACCGTACTTTCTACTCCCTGTGCCTAATGTCAAGGAAGCATTGTAATCGCTTATGGAAAATGAGATGTTTTTTTAATGCTATATGCCATGTACATCACAAAAGAACAATAATCTTTGGACAGTCTATAACCTGGAGAGCGTTACTCGGATGTTGATGAAATTTTCACACAAGATTGTTATTATGTAAAGGAGGGTAAAGCTTTGTGGTTTTTGGAAATCTGTGGCGGCGGTGTGAAGGGAGAATGAATGGAGAAAAAAATCGCTCAAACTCCGTTTGCTGATGTTTACTGATCCCTTTAAGAAAGTTTTTTGTACGGATTGAAAATCGAGGTCTTTATGCACTTATTACTAGGTCTTGACCGATATAGGATTTTCACCGATACCGATATGTCGCAGGCCGATATGTCGCAGGCCGATATGTCGCAGGCCGATATGTCGGCCATTTCGTTCTAGCGGCCGATCTTCTGTTCCTTGCCCTATCGGGTGTGTTTCGGTTCGGTAACCTTGGCCCACAAGCGCGTCTATGCAAGTCATAATATTTGCTGGTACGGCGTTGGTTCCATTATGTTTAATACTCCACAAAAATGTCGAAGACAAGGAAAAGTAGTGTTCTTTGGAAAATTTTTGATAGAGATTCCGATCAGAGGACTAACGAATTCTGAATGCCTCACGAGAGATGTTCTGTCAGTCGTATGAACATTATGAAGGTGAAAGGACATCTGGAAATTCACAGCTAAAGCGGGAGCATAAATCAGTAAATACACTAGACAAGGAAATCAGTGCGTATACCAAT